TCGAAGCTGGTCGATAATGACGATTCTTTTTCGTCTACTTTATCCTTTAAATGTTATCCGGAGGATTTGCCGGCGACGAGTATCACGGAAGTAGATGAGACGACCGTCGACATCCCCTGGGAAAATAGTGATTTTGAAAGCGATGAAGAAACTTTGAAGGAGGCAGCTAACATGGCGGTTGTTGGAAATTCAGAAGAATATGTCGATGATGAATTCTGGCAAACCCCGGAAGTTGCCGAACTACTAAAAAAATATTAATAACACCAAATCAGAGAAACGTTTGTTTGTTGGTTATGAACCTGTTATTGTTCTAAAACGAATTCCGTATTGTCCAAACACCTTAATGGACGCTTAATCCCTCTAGAGTTTGTAACTAAGCTGAGCTTGACTGGATCCTTATTTCCAGACAATTGTGTCTTGTGTGATTATTTTAGTTGAAGCACAGAATAGAATCTGGAACATCGTTTTTCGTGCATGAGTAGGGGAACTGTTCTTAAACCATTCAAGGGAGATTACCACCTTCGTTTTCAGTTCATACTAGCATTGAGAATGTTTTGCTTAATGTACGTGAAGTTCTTCGATTTTAATCGAACGTCACTACTTTTTTTTCTGTTGTAGGATTCTCCGTTAATTTCGAGATATTCATTTTCTAACTGCTTTCATTTCATCGCTGGTGAAAACTAGCATCTTTCAGGGAAACTAAGAAATAATTTTATTTTACCTGACGAAATTGAATGCTTTATTTTGTTCGTTTTTGCGGCCTGAATAACAAAATTTCGTTTGTTGATTGTTTTGTTTTGCGTTATGTTCTTTTAACTAAAGTTTATGATTTTATTCTGCTTCAGTGTAATATGCCTTCGTATGTATCTCTTGAATAGTTTTTGTGCAAATTTACACCAGCTATTGCAGAAAATAAGCTTAAATTTAGCCGTAATGTGAAATTCCAGAGGTTGAAGCAGAGGCATGGTAGCTAGCAGCCGTAGTAAGCAGTGTCAGAGCTGTCCATGCAGAGGCTGACTTCACAGAGACAGTGACGTAGGAAGTCATATCATTTAGAACCAAGGAACCGTGTCGAAGGCAAAAAGGCAGGAAAATTTGCTACTGCTTATTTTTCGATGACTGTAAGGCACAAACATTTATGCTTTGATGCTCAATATAGTGTAGATAGCTAAGCATATTAACGACAAAACCGCAACATCCGTACATAAACAGTTTATCATAATGGCACGTTGTCAGATCTGTAGATGCAACGATTGCATGTATTTTATCTGCTAGTTTAGTACGTCGATTTCTTACAGCAGTTTACAAGTACCGAATACAAGAACGTTTCAAATTAAATAATGCCATAAATTTTACAGCAGGCAGTTACTGGTTTTTACTCTATCATTATTTCAGATAGAGGAGTCTTAGTCTGAAATGAGGAACTGATATTCAGTTTTATGACTGTAGAACGCTCATGAAAGGCAATATGTATACTTTATATAGTATAATTATACTTTCCAGTATAATTTTGACCGGTACCACATATCACTTTTTTGTAGCTGTGCACAGTTTGCCTCATTTATTGGATCCTACTTAGTTTTTTATTTAATTTGGCAGTTTTGTTTTTATTTATGCCGAAAAACAAACATCTTCACTGATTTTTTTCAAGTAGTAAATCTGGAACTTTGAACTATTGGTGTTTGAATCTGTCAATGCGTCGTATGAAATGAACCATGTTTCGTAGTATTTCCAGCAGAGTAAACAACAAAAACAAACTAATCAGTTTCAAGTGCACTTGAATTCATCGCAGGACTAAGCCAATATCGCATAAGCGGTTTTTTACGACATTTTTGCCATTGGCAAAGGGGCAAATCACGTTTACTTTCACAAGATAAGTCCAGTTGATGATACTAGGTCCATGAGTCATATTTTGTACACCAAGTCGTTGCGGTTCGATCGAACCCGCTTCAACGTGATGCGTTTAGATGTTTCGACGGGCTTGGTGTCGTCGACGATTTCTCGATAGAACGAATCAAGCATTTCGTCGTAGTATGAAGGCTGTGGATTGTTTGTGCTAGAAAACGGAAGCGCAGTTTCGTATCCTTGAGGTGGCCTAGCGACATCGCTACCGTGCGAAAGTTCAGTTGCACAAAGTTCTTCGCTTTTCCTAATCCGCATTGATCGCGCTTCTAAAATAATTGCAAAACTAAAAAAGATACAATATCATGGGCTGATAATTCTAAGATTATTGCGAAAGATCAGGTTCTGTTAGAACAGTCAACTTCAATTCAGATTGACATTTAGATTCAGCTAATTCTATATGAGATCAATAGAAGTTAAATCTCGTGGCCACTGGCAGGATTCTTGTGCCATCAGATCGTGGTACGCCATAGCACTGACATTGTCAGAACATCATTCGTAGCAACATTAGAAATTAGAGGGTCGTGTTAGAAACTGATAATTCGAAGAATGGAATAACCATCAGACTCTGATCAAAAAGTTGTGACATGGATGTATCTTCTTTAGTGTTGGATATTTTAAACGTATTAAAAATTATCGACTGTCAACAACAGGTTACTCGAACAAACACTGACAACCAAAGTTATGTTATTTCGTCAGTTTGTATACACAAGTGGCGACAAAATAAAACAAGGATTGGTGCAAAATTACCAGGCCGTTTCGGTCACTGACATGACTATGACAACAATAGTGAAAACCGACAAATCCAGTCGAAATAGTCTCCTTTGTGGTTCTATATTGCTGCGTGTTTTAAGAAAACTGCTCTCTTGAAGTTCCTAATAGCTACAAGTTTCTTCCGATTTCGCCTTGTACAGCTACGTAAAGAATGGGTTTAAATAGGGCTTATTCAGCATCAAACAATGCATGGATTCATCAAACCAAAAACTGACAAACCACTGCCTACGGTATCTGTCTCTATCTAAGAGATTTTCTTTGGGCACTACTTAGTCGTTGGTTGTACTGGAAACTGATTACACCACCAAAAAATAGCTGTCTGTGTCTCACGTGATACTTGCTGCCTAAAAACACTTGATCAGCTACCGTATCCTAATTAAGGTCTGAGTGCGAAATATATTCACATTACTCAAATTACGGGCAACTCTGAGCAATAACAATATCACTAAAGGCGAATATTTTAAGTGTCTGATTTCTGAGTTAGTTTTAAGTCTGCATTATTTTGAACTATTGTAATATGCAAGTATCCACTCCATAATCTGATACAAGATCAGTGACATCGAAAGATACTGGGAGTGCATTAACAGGTTTGCTGGAATCGTTTTGAGGTGAAGGAATAAAGATGCAAGAAAAAGCTACATCGTTTATGGAACGTTCTGTCTGGAAAAGTCAGAAAAATGTTCATTTCCTGTGGCGCACAATATTTTGACGTTGTCACTTCGCGCACTCAGAATGAAAGCCTAAAAAAAAGGTTTCTTAAAAGAATGGTGAACTGGTGACTGAATTGCTTAAATACACTTAGTATTTGTAACATTCAATGTAGTGTCCGCCTAATCGAGTTAATAATCGCAATCTACCTATCAGTGTTAGGACAATACAAAAAGTTAAAACACTTGGACGATGCAGAGACTTGCATACGAAAAGGAATATGACCTTTAAGGCAGCAGCGAACGTTGCCTAGTATCAATCTGAATTATTATTTCTAGCGGTTACATAAATCTGAGTTGATTTATAGTTCTGCTAATCTGTTAGATCATAGTTCAGTTAACCTCAGATGACAATGACAAACCAACCACAATATATTAACATTATTATTGGCAAGCTGATAACACGTTAAAAGTAGCGTTTTATAATGAGATGTTTGTTGCTCAATTTAGCTATCACCTAATCATTATAACGATACCAGGGCAAACGACGAGGTAACTCTATCAGTATTAAAACGCCATAATTTTACTGCATAGTGAGAGTAAACAAAAAGATAATACTTGATACCGTTCATTTTCCATGTCTGAAATAATAGAAATACCAATATGATCATACTTTCTATTGTTTTCACGTTCTTCTCCCTTAGCCTCTCGGTCATCCCTCGAATGATACACCTGGTGCGTCCTACAAAGTTATAAATTTAAACTTTAAAATAAGTGCAATATAAATTTAACAGAATAACTACAAATATCATCATCAAAGTAACGAACAGAACCATTATATAGCGAAACTAATAAATCTATAAAGGTTTAAAACAGACTGATTCGCCATTTGTAACCTCAGTGACGAATGAACATTGAACAGTGACATACAAAATAAGTGATTAAATATTTTCGAGATTTCAGGCTGGAAACCTCAGCGTCGATGAAGGAAGTACTTGGCAATCTTCAAAATTAGAAGCAGAAATAAAACAGCAAATTTAACAGTGGTTAATTTGTTGACCCAGTGTTGAGGATATCAAAGAAAACCGATACTAAAATTTTATTGTCAAAGCATTTCGCTCCTACACCGGTAGCTTTATACGGGCATAAAAATGAATATGGCATACTCTTTTGGTTCAGTGTTTAGGAGTGTCTCATTACAGTTCAGTGGAAATAGTTACTAAAGGAAATTTTCTGACGTTTTGTGTACTTATGCAGTGCCGCCTTCACTTTTTAAAGCGAATATTCGGTAGCAAGATTTACAACAGCCCCATAACTAAAAGCTAATCATAAACTGCAGACTACGAAACGCAGTACAGATAGATGCATTTTGGGCATAACAGAAAAGGAACATAGTGAATGACTGGATTAAAGCACAAAAAAAAAGTCTGCGACGACACTGCGCGAGTGAAAAAGTTGAAGTGGAAATGGTCAGAAGTTGTAGGAAGAGCCAATTATCGCTGGATCAGCGAGACTGTAAAGTGAGTTCCAAGAAAGAAAACGGTCAGTAGGGAGATGTTCGGATCGATGACACGCTAAACTGATTAAGTTCATTGGATTAAGACAGAAAGAACAGCGAAAAACAGAAGTATTAGCAAGATCTTTATAAAAGGACCGAAAAAGCTGACGATAATAATGAGATAAGATGAATTAAAGTTTAAAAACATTCTCTCTATACATGCGCTCAGTTCAGTCCAGGAATTTTCAGATGGAACAGAAATAAATATAATACCTGGAGGTGGAAAAAATTACGTACATATCCTTTGTAATGGTACTTGCGTGGCAACGAAACGCTTGGTAATAAATTTTACGATCGCCTTTGCTTGGCGTCTTCAAGAACGTATCAGCATATTAGTCACAGTCCGACAACGGGGTCAAAAAGTTAGAACCGAAGCAATTCTAATTAAAAATAAATTACGCATTTCCACTACTCGATCCATTTCCCACTGACGGCATTTTTTGATGCCAACAAGCATGCTGATCACTAAAACTATACAGGCCGCAATCGTCGGGAAAACCGTCGTCACGGCAACATTTGAATTCGGCGGTTGATAACCTTCTGTTCCGTAACTCACTAAAAAAACTTCAATAAAACAGTGAACTTTAATTTAAAAATAAGTGGAGTTGACATGATTTTTTCACGCTTTAGTATTCCGTACCAAATCTGGGTTAAATGGGTTTAAGATTTTATGTATGAATCTGAAAGCTGATTATATTCCACCTGGAAGTGACAACTTTTTCTGCAGTTAGTGGATGGAAACCACACAAGAACGCAAAATTGTCGTTTGCTATCAGCATGCACATCAGTATTTCTGTAAAACATAATACATAGTGCGATTATAAACGAGCTCAATGCTAGAAGTTGAGACTGCGACCTGTATACAATGATACGTTTCCGCTCCTTCGAATTTTTTAGCGTCTTACAGAAGAAAGGTAATACTGATCTACGGTAAATTTGAGTGCGTGCTGAAATGGTGTTGACTTTACCTCTGATATCTGAAAGTAAACAGACTCGTCGTTTGAAATTTGCGTGTAACAGATGACTTACTAAGTCGCCGCACTGCACAAACGATAGAAAATGCTATCCTGTCAACGATTTTCTCTAGATCGACTTTTTGTAATGTAATCATCACGCCCATTTTAATCGATGACTTCCACGAAAACTGCATGCATAAAATAACATTCACATGCAATCCAGTAACAAGATTAGAATACCAAATTCCATTAGGATTTCTGTTGTCATAACGAACGCACTACAAGAGAGTGAATTCAGGGAACCGGGATAAACTACACCTGATATTGTTCATCAGTCACACGTTAGTTTTTTCTTCAGCCGTGAATCGCAGAGATTTCTGAATCCTTTTTTTGCGTCCAGAAAGCGGTTAATCATTTAATGAATGCAAATGAACGTATTTTACTGCTTAAATATATAGAAAATGCTTAAATCTTTCACTTCAAATCAAAATGGTCTCCGGTAGCAGCGAAGTAATCTGACCTCCAGGGTGGATCACTGTCGCGACTCCTCTGAATCAATCATTATACATAATATATAAGTAGAGCCCCGCTTAGCCGTCTAATTTCTGTGTATCATATGAAAATTTAAACCTTAACAAAATTGAAATTATTCAATCACCCGTCTCTTCGTCGGATTCACATATTGCAGTCGCGCTGTCATTTAGTTTCTAGTGGACTGCGAGATGGATAAGGAAGTCCATGACTTCATCATACCTTAGCATCTGCAGTGCATAGGCGCAAAACAGCACAATTAGTACAGCACAACATGTTCGAATATCAACACCTCAATTATTAGTAGGCATTTATATAGTAAAAATTCACCCTGATATTGAGTTTACTAGCAAACTGTCAGTCTTTGATACCGCCGGTAACAATAATAATAATAATTCACTTCTATAGATTCGCACGGTATAGAAATCCGTTTCCTTGCTTCCAACAGCATAAGGGCCAATTTAAATAGGTCAAGGATTCTCAGAATTATTGTTTTTATCATTTTGCAAAACTAACTATATTTAACTCTTGATCTATGAGATTTTCTGCGCTAATTTCCTTAAATTTAATCTTAAATAGCCTTTTATCTCTGAAGCAGTTAAAATAACCAGGGTGATTGAAAACAGTCAAATTTCACGAGATTAATGCTTTCAGACGATGAACGAGGGCCGAGACAACAAAATGAAGCCTGAATCTGGCCCGAGTAATGAAAACATACGACGCATTTAAACCGATTATCAGCGAGATATGCATTAATACCTTGATGACGAGTGTCAACTTTTGTGACACATACACATTCATTCATAAAAATCGAAGTTGAATCTTTGACGCGGAAATGCAATGAATATTGAGGAAATCTCTCATGTGATGAAATCTTCGCCTCCGTTTACTCACTGAAGTCGAATCAAACGATTCGAAATGTCGACAAATTTGTGTTATTATTATTCCGTGTACTTTCGCAACAAATATCTGCAATTTTTAATCATTCAGTTTTCATAATTTACCATTCCTTTTCTGTGGCTGAGTCAACAGCATCAGGAAACGATTCTAATGGACTCAAATGTGTAGCCAACCAAATCGAGAAAAGTTCTTGAACTAGATCCGAAGCAGAGAAACTGCAATTTGTTTAATGTAGTTTGACTGCCTAGCATCAGCTCTGCACTTCGACTGTTCGTGATTAAGATTTGCAAAAATCTCTTAATGATCGCCTTCTTGGTGGCATCCTAAGTCCTGATTCTACTCCGAATATATAAACATGCATACGCAGGCACTGCAATTGCTCGAACTGCCAACTTACGAACTTTGCCGTAACTCGGAGTCATATCAGCAATGCCTCCAAGAAAAATCACTTCTGCCTGATTTCAAACTGAATTTTAATCACTACAAAGTATTCATGACCATAGGCAAGAATCGATGGGTAGAGTAAACACGAACCTTGCCAAATGGCTGCTATCGCAAATGAATGTTCGAAAAATACACGTCCACACTGAGACGTTCATCAGTGGCACTTGACCTTTGAGCAGAGTAGTAGAAAAAAACAGACTTCAGGGAGTGCAAATATTTTTCTTAAGCAGTGACTTTTACTACAACGTTTGCCATTACCATGTATGCCAATGAGCAATCGCACGATGATAACTGTAAACTGATCTGACTTGAAGCGGTTTCACCCCCTTATTCAGAAACTGAAAGAAAGATGAACAGCCAAAAGTCAGAAGAACGAGAATTTTAAAAGATCATGTCTTCAGAAGGCCAATCACTTTCACAACAATGACGAAACCAAAAAGGGTGATTTTCAAACTTACTGCTGGTAAGGCAATCTAACTCATCGCTGCCATCAGGGCACTGGCCGATTCCATCACATGGATGTACCAGCAGCGTGGGCAGACATTCTCCAGTATGACACAGAAATGAATTCGGTGGGCAGTCTGAAATCAAGGTTATAGCGATTACCTGCTCAATTAAAGTTCGCATACCAGCATATGGAGCTAAGCTCATTTGGTGTTCATATGTATTTTTACAGGTTTCGTTCACATCTGACTTCACCTACAAATTGTAAAGCTGTAAAATAATCGCTACTTCGATTCAAATCTCTTCAACAATCTTTAAGCAGTCGAAAGAACGGCATACGTCCACAAATTTTCTTTATACATTAATAAAAAAATAACAAGACAGCAACTACATAAAGAAGTACAGGGACATTCATTACAATTTAAATTTAAACAACATTCCACTTTTCACTAAATGAAACGAAAACATCGAATAACATGGCGAAAATACAAGCTCAAAATCCTAAAAACGGGAATTAACACCCTTAAAGAAACAAACGAACAGAGAAAATTTCACAGAAACATACCCACAATAAACTTGCCATATATACTAAGTTGACAGCGATGAGGAAACGCTTCCACAAACGTCAACAAACTAGAGGATTCAGTAAACAATGACTACCGCCTCTAGACGGATTCCTATAATCGTCGATGAACGAAACGAAATCTTTTACCTGATGAAGAGATGATGCGTTTTAATTTTCCCTAGTACCCTTGTACCGTACACATTAATCAGCTGGAACTATCACATAAAAGTTTTCGTATTCTCTAACATCAGCTTGCAGCTGATCAGGGCGCGAATACATACAGTAACAAAAACTGATCCGCACGTCACCTACTATATTCACAGGCACTAAATTTAGCAAAATATGATCCCAATTTTCTGAGGGTAGATTCCACGTTTGGGAGCTTTCAATAATACCGGTAAACATAAGATTACAAATTTTAACACAAGATTTACATAGTGAAAAAGTACCCCAACTCCGCCATGGCCGAGCCCAAGCCCGGATGAGAAAGGAGGAGGGTTGAAGACCATGGCAAGTCTCCGTAAAATACAGCCACCTGCCACTCATGGCATTGATGCCATCGAAATCTATACCGGCTTGGTCGTC